GGTCACCTGGGGCAAAAGCCAGGCCAAATAAACAAGATGGCTAATAGGGGGCCAGGGTCTACTTGATCCACTCTGCTACCCAGAGGCTCAAGGTCACATGCGTGACTATAGAGAGGCTGTAAGCCTGCTGTCAGTCTATACCTGATTGGATATGCTAAAAGGGGAGTCAGGAATTGCCTGGAAGAAATAGGCTTTTGGTTTTCAGCCTCTGTAGAGGAAAGGTAAAGGCAGAAACCTGAGCCCCACCTAGAACTACTGAGAGAACAGGAGTTTTACCTTTAAAGGAAAGAAAAATGACTGGTATTTGGAATTCTGAGCAAGCAGTCTGGTGCACTGAGTTAGGAAAAGTCTATCCCCATCTGAAAATTCTATTCTATTACTGCAAGTTAAAGGTAGCTGGCAAGTAGAAACCTTTGTATGCTTGCTGGTGACCATCTGGGTCCACTTGAGTGACAGTGGGGGGAAATGCATCAACGAAGAGACAGATTGGGAAGAGGAAGGGCGGGTGAATCTGAAAGTAGTGAGTTGTGTGCACTCCTGAGCCTATGGGCTCTGACCTAGCCCATGGGAGCTAGGACTGAGGAAGAACATCAAGGGGCCAGCTGGTCTGAAGTGAAGGGAGGTGTGTGTGGACTCCCTAGCTTGCACTGATAACTCATTTGACCTAGTGAGCTGGCTAGGGTTGAAGGAAGAAGAGATGTCTGATACTGTAGCTGATGTAAACTGCTGCACTTTGATGGCTGGCTGGACTGGACTTTGCTTTTAAATTCAGATATCCCAAGTTCCAACTGGGACAGAAGATTCATCACATCAAGGACCATGCTTGTCTCCTCAGAGTACTGGGTTGATAAGGATGGACAATTTTGAAACTAGATATCTAAAATGGGAAGACATAAAGGCATGAAATGGCTGGTTTATAAGCTTTTACAGGTATGCACAATTAGATTGTTATGAGGAAAAGTTAATCCTGGAAGTATGAAAGAAAGCATCAACGGCTAGAAGAGCCAGGAGATGGGCTGCGGTGCAGTGAATTATTTAATATCTCTGCTAGCCATTGTTGCTGTTGTAAGGTGCCATCAAATCATAGTGACCCTGTATAGAGTTTCCAAGGAGTGGCTGGTGGGTTTGAACTGCTGACCTTGAGGTTAATAGTCCAGTATTTATCCTACAGCACCACACCAGGACTTTTATAAACTTCCACCAAACATTTTGCCCTGTTGGGAGTGGGAAGAGATGGGAGAAGATTCTGACAGTATTACATAACTCAGTGGTGAGGTGTTAACAGGGTTAACTGTTCATTGTAAAAACCCGGAACTCTTGTGTGTATAAAATTAGTCATCTCAGAAGCAGGAACGTGGGATCTCAACTACCATCAAAGAAGAGTAGCCAGGAGGGAAGCATGTCCTTTGGACAGAAAGAGCCCTGTGCATTGAACCTCTGTGACCCTGTGACAGAAAGCTGTGACACCAAAGGAGTAGCTGAGCAGCTGTGGCAAAACCAAGAAAGAACAGTGGACTTGCTAGCTGACAGGGCAAGTGAAGCTGGTGACTTTGGTCAGGAGGCTTGCTTGTAGAGTGAGGTGCCTCTAGGTTTGCTGACCCATGAAGCTAGAGTCAAGGGCCTTCAGGCTGAGACTTATGGTGGAGTAGTGTATCCTTCTGGTATTTATCAGCGACCATACAATAACTTTGTAACACTGGCTGGGCAGATCGAGGCCTGCCTGTGGACATAGCTCAGGAGAGGTTGTCCTGACTAAAGAACACTATCCTGAGCATTTCTGACCCTGAATTATAACCTGGTAACTTCCTGAATGGAGTCCTGGTATGGTGCTGTAAGATAAGCACTAGAATGCTGACCAACAGGCTGGCATTTCAAACCCACCAGCTGCTCCCTTGGTTACTCTATAAAGGGTCACTATGAGTCAGAATTGACTTAACGGCACTTAACAACTTTCCTAATAAATGCTGAGTATGCTGTACTGAGTTCTGCATGGTCATAGCAATGAGATCGAACCTAGTTGAGTAGAGAGTGCTGTGGAGACAGCTGCCTGGTGACACATTTTTTGCAGGGGCACTGGCCCAGAAACTAAACCCAACTCTCTGCCTGAAAGGTGAGAATTTTACCACTTAACCAATATACAGTTGTTGTTAAGTGTCACTGAGTCGGTTCAGACCCTGTATAGGGTTTCCGAGGAACAGCTGGTGAGCTTGAACTGCTGACCTTGAGGTTCAAACTGACCTTGCAGTCCAGGGCATTAACCACAGCACCACATCAATGCAATACATAGTTGTTGTTGTTGTTAAGTGCTGTTGAGTTGGTTCCGACCCATAGTGACCCTATATAGGGTTTCCGAGAAGGAGCTGGTGAGCTTGAACCACTAGCCTTCTGGTTCAAATGACTTTGCAGTCTGGCGCATTAACCTACAGCGCCACACCAGGACTCCTACAGTCAATACATTAAGTCCAGGGAATACTGAATAGGTGGTCTCATGTTCCTGGTGAAAACCACTTTGATGAATAAATTAAAATTGACTTGTATTACGTTAATGGTTCAAAAGTAGTGGATATTATGTTTCATAGACTCCTGTCAACCTTGAGAAGAGGAAGGGCTGGTTGGTCCAAAGTTTGGGGAGACTTGAACATGACCTAACCACATGAGCAGCTGGTGAACTGCCGACCTTGTAGTTCAAATGACTTTGCAGTCTGGCACATTAACCTACAGCATCACACCAGTACTCAGCTACCTGAAATAGAGGGGCTATAAAGGCGTGAAGTGGTTGGCTTACAAGTTTTAAAGAGGGAGTTTAGTTTCAGAGTGGGGGTGAGTGAGGTAGAATCCCTACTGAAGTTTTCATCTTGTCTAGACGGGTCTGGTGAAAGAAGATGGGGATAGGATTCTTTTGATTCAATAGTGAGTAATTGTTATAATGATTGTCATTGTCATAACTGTAACGGTATAAGTTGTGTAACAAAAAGGGGGGAGTAGTTAATATTGCATTCCAGGAACAGAGTATCCTAAGACCATCAAGAGGTGAAGAGCATAAGTGGAACCTGGGATCCTAACCAGAGAAGCTGTGACACAAGAGATGAAGGCAGAGGTGATGGCATGAAGAGAGACAACAGCTGAGGACTCTAGACTTATGGAAAGAGAAAGGCTGTGTGCTGGCGGCCAGGAGGCTGGCTTGCAAAATGTGCCCTTTGGTTGTTTAAAGGTATATTCCTGTGTGTTTTTGTATACACATACATACACACAAAAAAAGAGGGAATAGAGGTAAATACTGTTAACTGATGGTACGTGGAAGGGATTGCAATCATTGCAATTAAACAAAATATGATTGGATAAGTGCAAAACCCATGTTCTGCCATGTAAACTATCACTTAATTCACAATAAAAGTGGATATTATAAAGTCCCTAAAGACACCAGAAATGTATATTCTTTTAAAATTGTTTATTTTCCCAACAAATTTGCTTGACAAATCTTTAAAAAAGGAAACAAAACACAATGCCGATACACTTAACACAATATGAAATATATCCAGGCAAAATAAATATTTTAATGATGAGAGTCACTTATAAGACAGAAAATAAAGCATTTTGAGACCTATTCCTTGATTTACATCTAGGAGTCCGAAGTTCTCATTGTTTTCTCTTGCTGTATCAATGGGATTTGAAAATGTTACAATTGACTCTAAGAAGCCTAATTTAGTTATTGAAAGAAGTGCAAGACATTATGCTGTAACTGAGGGGAGAAAAGCTCCTACTAGAGTCACCTGGGCAATAGCCAGGCAGATGAATAAGCTGGTTTATAGGTTTGAACCACAAGGCCCACGGTTCAAGCTCACCAGCTGCTCCTTGGAAACCCTATACAGGGTCGCTTAACAACCAATCTGTGATAGTTTTAGAATTATCTCTTGGAAACTGACAACTTTTGGGTAATGCAAAAATCCAGCAGTAACTAGACACCCGGGAAGTGCTTAACATGGAGAACTTTTCAAGAATCTGAGCGTGTTTGCCAGTAAGGAACATCCTAAACATCCTTGGGATGGTCCTTGTTTGGGAGAGCAAGGAGGGCGGGCTACAAGCAATTTGCATACAGGAGATAAAGGGAAAAAAAGAGCAAAGGACCAGCAACCTTGGCAATGGCTCATAAAATGGGGGGGGGGGGGGGGGGGGCTGGGTAACCAAATTATATATGGTGAAGGGTTGGGGAGTCACCAGGCAATTCAGACTGTTGAGTAAACAAATTCTTAAGAAACTGGAAAAACTTGAGAAGTGGGATGGAATGAAAACAAAGGAGGTAGCTACTGCTGCAGGGGTAGGGGGTGGAGAGTTACAGCCTCCCCCAGCCCCCATTTCTTCACCCCTCCATGAATTCCCTCTTCTGTACCGCGTGGTATGTTCCTTGAAGACAGAAATCTAACTGCGGCTTCTGGATGACACCCCAGTCCCTAGTGGCAGCTCACAAATCCCTGGACCAATTTCTTAACACTTTTCATACTAGAGTGCAATTGTCTGTCTGACTGCCAGAACAGAGCATGCGCTTCCAGCCCAGAGATGCGCTCAGAAAACACTGGCTATGACCTAACCTCCGACAGCACTTAACAACAACAAAACGACCTAACCTCAGTCCGCCCCCCGCCCCCATCTAGACTGGAAGAGAAGCTCTTGGAAGGTGAGGCCCTCCTAAGATGATTTTTATCCCCCTTGGTGTGCTTGTCTCCCCGTCTGAGCAAAGGGATCGCGTCTTTCTCATCTTTGTCTCGGCCCCCCCCCCCCCCCCGCCCCCCAACAGCCTATCACAGGGTAGGTGTAGCACACACTTCTGGCACTAACAGCTGGAGTGGTTGTGGGCAAGATTAGGGAGGAAAAACAAGAGCCACCCAGATAGGGGACTGCAGATGTAGGGCTGGCCCAGCAACCAAGTTCCTCCAGCAGACAGAGGGGTGAGGTAGGAAGAAATGGTCAAGAAGAGGTGGTTGCCCGCTTCGATCAGGTCCTACCTTAGGGTAGGTGTGCAAAGGGTAGGTCATCTGACAGGCCCGGTGGCAAGGCGCCGTATCCCCCAAAACCGAGTCGAAGGCTTCAGCCGAAGCAGTTCCCGAGCCTCCAGCCAGGGACATAGTCAGCAGCAGCAGTGGCGGGAGCCCCAGTTGGGCCCTGACCCAGAGGTGCCCACTCAGTGTCGCCATTTTGTTCCCCTCTGTCTCAGCAGCTCAGCTTGTTGCTGTTTTCTTTTCAGAGCTTCCTCCTCCTTCCGGGGCCAGCCTACTTCTCCGCCCAGTCGGCCGCAGCTTCCGCCTTCGCAGCTTCCGCCTTCTCTCTTTCCTCAGCTCCGCCCACACCGGTGTGAAACTGCCACCTCCAGTACCGCCTCTGAGACTACGAACTTCTAGGCTCCAGTAGGGAGAAAGACGCAACCATCGCGAACAGCAGCCTGAAACGGCGCTCCCTGACCCCTTCCCATGAGGAACGAGCTGGGACATGTAGTTCTCCATGACTGGTATATGAACGGGGACATTGGGAAAGTTGGCCTCAGAGAACTACAGTCGCCCTAGACATGCCTCAGCCCTCCCTTCGCAGTGCATTCTGGGGAATGTAGTCAGTCTTGTCTCTGAAGTGCTTGCGCGAGTAGAGGGTTCTCTTTACATATCTCTTCCGCACTTAGCGGAAACGTGTTTAGATTCCTCACTAGCAGTTGGGGGCCGGGAACTCAGAGGGTGCGTTGTGAAGGAACCAGCTGCTACCAAGGCTGCATTTCTTGGTGGGTCTCACGTCTGACCGTTGTTAGGTATCCCTTCCTAAGCTCATGAGTGCTGAATGTAGAGGTGGATGGGTTTCAGGGCACCACAGATGTAGTCCTAGGGTCTTCTGACCACAGAGCTGTTAGTTGTTTCTGGAGATGGCTGTTTATTGTGAGGACCCTACTGAGACCCCAGGGTGGTTGTTGGTTACTAGAAGAACCCCTTGGATTTTGGTTGTGGTATTAAGAGGGCTTCATTGAGCCCAGTGGAAGCCTAATCCTATCACAATCTAACCCAGGTTGGAATACGAGGCTTTAGAATTTACCAGGTTCAACGTCAGGCCAAGGATTGGTATGCCTTTCACGGCTTTTTCTTTTGGAGGTTTGGGAGCTTGCTACCTCCGGAAATAGGGCAATCATGGTGTATAATTTTAGTTCTTAGGATGATGTTTCGTTTTCAAGAACCCTTGCCTCCTGTAAATTCAACCCAAGAGTTTTCATAATTCAGAAATGTTTGCAGAGTGCACAGAACCCAATTGTCCTGGGAACACATATTATGTAGTCTTGAAGTTTTAGAGTTTGTCCTCTTTCTTGAACAGAAGGCACTGCAAGCAAGTGGAGGTAGGTGGAATCCCCCTCGCAATGGATAAATTCGTCATCCGAACGCCTCGAGTCCAAAATAGCCCACAGAAGAAAGATCCTGGAGCAAAAATGTACAAGCAGGCCACTATTGAATCTCTGAAGGTGAGAGGGGATCTGGGATGAAATGTACATGGAACTGTAATAGCAAGGTGGTGCTGAGACCTATGAATTTCATGCTGTGTCCCCTCCCTAAAGTATACTGACCACCCTGCTCCCTCCTTACCCTGGTGGCACTGCTATGAAATTTTCTCCCCTTCAGGAATTGTTGGTTATTGTTGGTAAGTGCCATTGAGGCAGGTCCGACTCATAGAGACCCTGTATAGGGTTTCCAAGGAGCGACTGGTGAGTTTGAACCCAACCTTGTTGCTCAACCCGACCTTGCAGTCCAGTGCTTTATCCCCAGAACCACATCAGGACTCCCACTTCTGGTATACTCTTCTAATTATTCTGGTATTATGGTATGTTTACTACCTGGTAAGGTAGGCTTTTCCCTTGTTGCAACATTTTCTTAGTAGGTACAAGCAGTTAACACACTCAGTTGCTAACCAAAAGGTTAGAGATTTCAGCCCACACAAAGGCATCTTGGAAGAAAGACCTCGAAATCTACTTCTGAAAAATCAGCCACTTAAAGTCCTATGGAACTATCACGTATCAATGCTATCCCCTCTGTATACATGGTAGATGGGGACGGGTAACTTAGACATTGGCTACCTAAAATGAGGGGGCGATAAAGGCATGAAGTGATTGGCAAACAAGTTTTCAAGAGGGAGTTTAGTTTCAGAGTGTGTGAGGGAAAATAGAGTCCCCACCGAATAGTTTTTATCTTGTCTAGACAGGTCTGGTGAGAAGAGATGGGGATAAGATTCTTATGATTCAATAGTGAGTAATTGTTATCATTTTGTGACTGTTACAACTGTAAAGGTAGAAGTTTTGTAACAAAGGAGTAGTTAATCTTACAGTCCAAAAATAGAGGACCCTAGGGCCATCAAGGGAGAAGAGTACAGCGGAATGCGGGACCCTATCCAGAGAAGCAGCAACACCAGAGATGGAGGCAGAGATGAAGACATGGAGAGAGGAGTAGCTCAGGACTCTAGACTCATGGAAAGAGAGGGACTGAGTGTCGGCGGCCAGGAGGCAGGCTTGCAGTATGTGACCTTTGGTGGTTTAAATTATTATAGATGGCTGAATGTTTTTGTGTACATTGCCTTACCCGCCCCCCCCCCCAAAAAAAAAAAAAACCCAAAAAACCCAGAGGGAATGGAAGCAAATACTGTTTAATGATGAAGGGGATTGTAATCATTGCAATGAAATGATTCTCCCATATAAACTATCACTTAGTTCACAATAAAAATAAATAAAATAGGTATTAATAGCAACAACAACAACAAAAAACCCAATGGAGCATAGTTCTACTTGGACATACGGGGTCACCATGAGTCAGAGTAGACTGGGTGGCCACCTTTTTTTTTAAGGTGCCAAGTGTGGTTCTATGCACTGTGTACTAGCTCAGTAAGGGTGGAGTAAGGATGCTACCTTTTTGTATCCTATTGGTAGAACTATGTCACATGGCCTCCACAGCTATTACAAAGACTGGGAAAGAGATTACATAGAATTTTAATGGACTCTATTTTCCAGAATTCAGTCTTATTTATGTTAGCAAAAAAGAGGAAAGAGATAAATACAGGGTAGACAACCAACCAATATCCAATAAATATTGGAACATAGATATCCAATAAATAGTACAATAATTATTTGATTTTTAAAAAGTTCATAATTAGTTTCTTTTTCTTCTTGAAACTCTCCTCCTGAATTTCTTTCAGTTTCCTTTATTGGTTCTTTCTCCCCACTAGACCCCTATTGTTTACACTTCCCAGAGTTCTGTCATTTCATGTATGTGACCTTGGCCAAGGTGACCTTATCCATCTCAAGGCTTTCTATACTAACTGCCAAACTTGCACATCCTACCAGGATCTCTGAGGATGAGGGGATCTGGAGCTAGAGAAAATAAAGAACTAGGAGAGTGAGGGGGTAACCTGAGTAGTTGATTTATACTGTGCTGGACTTCTGGATGTCCCATGAGCATATCAGACCCAGATCAGAAAACAGTAAGGGAGGAGAGTTGTAGGAGCCCTACTGGCACAGTGAGTTTGGAGTTGGGCTGCTAAGTCTAAGATCTGGAGTTCAAACCCACAAGCCACTCCTCAGGGAAAAAATGAGACTGTCTGCTTCCATAAAAACTTACAGTCTCTGCGGTCCAGGAGCAGAGGTCCCTGGGACCATCAAGGGAGAAGAGCGGAGTAGGGTACCCTACCCAGAGAAACAGTGACGCCAGAGATGGAGGCAGAGAGGATGACGTAGAGAGAGGGAACAGCTGGGGACTCTAGACCCAGAGAGGGAGGGGACTGTGTGCTGACGACTGTGGGGGAAAGCTTATAGTGTATACCCTTTGGCTGGTTGATAATGCATGTAGGGGATTATCACCATGGCAATAAAACGATATACGATAGGATGAATATCAAGCTAATATTCTCCCATGTAAACTATCACATTCACAATAAAACATAAAAAAAAAAAAAAAAGGCAAAAAAAATTATAGTCTCAGAAAACATAAAGAGGAGTTCTTCTTCTCTGTCATATAAAATTGTTTTGTGTTGGAATAGACTCAATGGTTGTTGTTAAGTGCCATCTAGTTGGTTCCAACCCATAGTCACCCTGAACAGGGTTTCTGAGGCTGTAAATCTTTACAGGAGCAGAAAGCCTCATCTTTCTCCCGCAGAGCAGCTAGTAGTTTTGAACTGCTAACCTTGCGGTTCGCAGCCCGATTCGTAACCACTACACTACCAAAGCTCCTTAGACTCAATGGTAGTGGGTTTTTAAAGTAGAAGCTGTGGGTTCAAGGCCTTACTGTGCAACTGGGTGATCTTCAACAAGTTGTTAACCTCCATGACCTCATTCGTTCATCTATAAAATAAGGAGTTGGACTAGATCAGTGTTTCTTCAAGGGGATTGTCATTTGGGGCAAGATAAATTCATTATTTGGAGCTGTCCTGTGAGTTGTAGGCTGTTTAGGCTGTTTAACATCCCTGGATTTTAGGTATGATTGTCATGATAACCAAAAAGCCCTAGGTTGAAACCTATTGAACCTTTTTTGTGTGCCATACAGTCAATACAGTGTGCTAGTACTATCAGTGTACTCTGGACTTCTTCCTTCAGCATCATGGGTTCTTAATCATATGCTGCCTCTTGAAAGAGTTGAACGTTGTCTATTTCTTTTTCGTACAGTGACTCCATCTCTTCCATCTTTTTTTTTTTTTTATGCTTTCTGTATCTTTTAATATTTTTTATCCACAGTCCTTCAATATTCAACCAGAGGCTTGAATGTTTTCTTTAGTTCTTATAGCTTGATTTTCTAATTCCAGGTCTTTGCACGTTGCATTATAATTATTTTACTTTGTCTTTTCAAGCTACCCTTTGAAATTTTCTGTTTAGCTCTTTTACTTCCTCATTTCTTACATTCATTTTAGCTTCTCTATGCTCAAGGGCAAATTTTAGTCTCTTCTGACATCCATTTTTGGGGTTTTCTTTCTTTCCTGCCTTTTTAATAACCGTTTGCTTTCTCCTTGTATGCTGTTCTGAATGTCATCCCCAAACTCTTCCAGTCTTTGATCATTAGTGTCCAATACATCAAATTTGTTCTTGAGATGGTTTCTAACTTCAAGTGGGATATGTTTAAGGTCATATGTTGACACTTGTGGACTTGTTTTAATTTTCCTCAGCTTGAGTCTGGCTTGTTCCACAGTCTGTCCCAGTTCTCTTTTGCCTGATAATACTGAGATTTTCCACCATCTCTTCCCACTGATGTAGTCAATTTGATC